TGTGTGTGTGTGTGTGTGTGTGTGTGTGCGTGCGTGAATAGTCACAAATGCATAGTAATGATCTAGAAGCTCTGCTATCAGCATTGTTTATGAACCGATAAAGCGTAATGGCTTATGATGTAAACAGACTAAAGACAGCGAACTTTGTATAAAGCGAAATGTCGAGTATCGACACCTGAATTCGATGAATGAGCGCACACTTAATTGTCCTGTAAGCATATTCCGGGCTGAAAGCGTCAGCATAACGGACATGAGCTAAATAACGCTCCATAGCAGCTTGATAAATGACGCTTTCGGGACCCTTGAAAAAGACCCCAGAGGACGGATGGTACAGAGTTACGCAGAGATGAGGGCAGTATATGTTGCCACATCAGGGTTTGGCAGATGTGTCATCTTGGGGTTGCTTTAATGTGAATCCGTCATGATTGGCTAATTCGCCAGTTTCGATGCCCCAGTCACGTCAAAATTGGAGGAAGTACCTTGAAGATAAGTTGTTGTTCCCATAAAATACCATTCATGGCGTAACTATGAGAGTCACAGGGAAGCTGGAGTCCAGAAAGAAGGCGTCATCATGGCAATTGCATACCGACATTTTTTAAGTTTGTAACTATAATATGATGACGAGTTGTAGCTTAGTGCTGAGACTAGTAAAACTGAACGAAAATACCAACTAGGATAACGGCGAAACGCCTAAGAATGTGCCAAGAAGACGGTCCGACGCAGAGAATTATCATAATGACTATAGAAGACGACTTAGGATGAGGTGACTTTAACTAAATCGCACCGGGAACACTACCGAGTTGAAAAAATGAGTTAATACCAATTCATTAATATAATGAAGCGTAGCAGAGCAGATACCAAAGAAAATCTGACCCAAAAAGAACTAAAATAGGCTGAAAGAGAGAGATACAGTTAGACAGACATACAGACATTCAGGTAAAGATATGAAGACCAAGATGGTGTGGCCTTTTGTGTGATCGCAGTATAGAAGTTGTTTGACCTTGTTTTCACAACATGGTGATATTGGTAGGAAGACTTAGAGGAACTCACTTTGTCCGGAGTCCATTGTATGCATCATCATTTCCAAAGTCGGACTGTGGACGTAGTACATTCCCAGACATTTTGCCGCCATAGTCACTCTTAGCACTACATGGCAACTCGTTAAAGAGACAAGGGAAGCCAATCCTATGACCAAGCGTGTGTTAAACAGTTGTGGTATCTCTCCTTCTGTCCTGGCCTATTCATACATCCCACATCCTCGGATCACCACTTCAGTATCACAATTTTGTTTTCCTCGTTTATTTAAATGTTGTGTGGTGAGCGGCTTTCATGAGAACCCCATACACTCCACGCTGGCGTTCTCATCCCCCTTCACTCTTGTGCTGGGAATGTGGATCAAGGTCTGCCAGTCCTCCTTCCCTAGGTCTTATCACTGTCTCCCTCTTGCCCCGTAAGATCCGTCTGCTCTCTCCCTGGCTCAAGTATTTCACTCGAGCCTTGCCACCCCATCTGTGTTCCACGAGGGGTCATTTTCCACACTCTGCGTCTGCTAGACTAACTTGAGGCTAAAGACCCCGAGTAATTGTCATGCTCAAGTCTTTGCTTCAAGGACCACGTCTCTGGTAAAACCTACTGTCAGCCCACTAGCTCCCATCGCCGCCGCGTCTATCCTGTTTCTATCCCGAATACCAAGTCTATGACTTGCTGTGTCCTAGTCTCTTGTGTGCCAACCTACATGCCATGTTGTGGTACTGCTTGTCTTAATTAGGTTCAATGTTGAACCACAAGGGTGAAGAGGGGTGAGAACACCAACTTCGAGTGTGTAGGGTTCTCATGAATGTTGCTCAAAAGGGCACACCACACAACATTTAAATAAGCAAGGAAAACAAAATTGTGATACTGAAAGGGTGATCCGAGGATATGGGAGAGGTGAATAGCCCAGGACAAAATTAGAGAATTCACAAATGCTTAGCCCAAATTTT